GGCCGAACAAAGCGGCCTCCTTCTCAGCTATGATGGTATGAGATTTCTTATTTTCAGCTTCTAGAACCGCCATCTTCTCTCCAGAGACCTTTTGATCCTTTAGAAGCTGTGTGATCGTTGTCTGTGCCTCCACAAGTTCAATCTGGAGTCGATCTATCTGCTGGTTCTTAAGAGAAGTAGTGGTCATAATATTGGCCAATTCAGTTATACAGTCGGTCAATTCCACCTCTAGAACCTTCACCTCTTTGGTTCTATGGTCATACTTCCGCTTATACTCTCCTTGAAGATACTTCACCTTCACAAATTCATCATTCCATTCGTTTAAGGTCCGAGTAAGCTCGACCTCAAGCTCCATGTGGCTTGATAGCTGAAACAAAATAAGAGGATACATAAAAAAATGTTCCAATTGATGCAACAAAAAGAAGTTTGAAAAACAAAGGAGAAGATGCTACTCACCAAGTCATCAGTTTTGCGACGTCCAAGGCACTGATGTTTCAACACATCCCCAGGAACATGTAACTTTGCAGGAGAAGAGTCAAGGGGAACCTGGCTAGGACTCGTTGAAATTCCTTCCAATTTCTTCTTCTTCAGTAAGGCCTGAGGATCATCACTTTTTCGCTTAGAAGGAACTTTTAAAGAAGGGGCAGGTGGCTCGTGAACTTTAGTAGACTTCTTCAACATCTTTGCCTCTGACCTCCCAGCTTGAATTGACAGCCCCACTTTGAATAGAAATTCTTCTTCAATATATTTGGTCAAATGACGAACCTCGAATAGAAGATGTTTGACGTCAGGGATGTTAAGAATCTTCAAGATGTCTTCTTCTCCAACATGCAAAGGGATGGGTAGATCCTTCATCTTCCCTCATTTCTCTATGAGGCCTCAATCATTTTGCACATAGAAAAATGCATGGGCCCAGCTCTTTAACGGGTCCCGAGTGCGCATGTCTAACCATTTAGACCTAAAGGTCACGCGCCCCTATGTATCAACAATGAATCGGCCCATCCGCGAAAGATAC